CCGAGACCAACCGTTCCGCTTCCCCCTCACCCTTTGGCTGGGGGCTTGAGCCTTCTTCCTCCATGGCCATGGCTCCCTCCACGCGCGTCCACAACGACGTCCTGACGAACCCCGGTGGAAGTTTCTCGCACTCCCTATGGTGAGGCGCTTTCTTCCTCGTGTTATTTTACTCGGCCTAGCCGTCTCACCGTGCGAGAATCGGTGCGCTTCAGATTTTTCCGTCTACCATAGAGCCGGGGACGTCGAGATGCCACGGGATGGAGACACGATCTTGTCCAACTCGAGATGAAAAACGTCTTCTTTCTTACATTGTTCGTTTTTTTTTTCGAGGTGCTGGGTTGCTGTGCATCTTATCCAGTTTCGCATTGTACAGCAGTAGCGAAATAGGGGGTGAAACCCCTTGTTACCCAGGCAAATTAGGGGACGGGAGACTTCATATCTTTCTGGATATTCGGTGGAAAGTGCTCCCACATAGGCAGGCCGTTGTATCTGCGTGGGAGAAGATTGTTAATTTTCCGGATGGCCATGAACCATGCCGAACCCATGGATGGGTCTCCGGACATTGCTTGTGGTCCACGCACGGTTCGTCGCTCAGCGTGATGTTGCAGTCGCAATTGTGCTTGGATGCTTCTCGAGAGATCCTATTGTTAAGGATTGCGAACAGATATTGCTGGAATGGTAATAGAAACCTTTGGCCTAATCTATCGGCCCCAGGGACTTGGCTTTGGCTAGAAGTTGAAATGCTCTGCTGCCCCAATGGAGTGAGTCTAAATCACGAAGACGGGGGTAAGTTAACGGCGTTCGCAGCCCTGTAACTGTACCCCGTGGGGCTTTTCCACTTAAGATAGAGTGGGGGCAACATGAAGGAAACTACAGAGTGAACTGACTTACCCGATATCTAACCTCGGCGGGTGTGTGTTAAGCGCTGCTTAACAGGGCCTTACGTGGTCTAGCCTGATACGTGCGTTCCCAACCGAGTCTAAACGAATGATCCGTATCTCAGGTCTTGTACGGCGGTTCGCATGAGGTGGTTACTAGCCGATTCCTCCCGGCGGAGTGGATAGACTTGTCGGCCGGGGCCTTGCTCCTTTCGAGGAAACATCTAGAAATCCTCTACACGTATCCTGGAGTTCATCCATAGCATGTTTGGAATGTGCTTATTTTAGGGGAGCCGGGGTGTACTTGAAATGTCATGGCTCAACGGAGAAAATTATCTTGCGTTGGCAGACAAGGTGGCAAAGTCCTGGCGAGCTACCCAGTAGTGCTCTCCACCAAGCAGGTTATTTGAGGACGTTGATCCCGTTGGCCTACGACATGTAGCAGACGAGACGGGCTGCTTGTACAATAGGTGCATGTGCGTTTGGTATTTTTTATCTTGGACAGGAAGTGCTCGAGAGAAGGTGGCGGTAGCCCAGTAGCGGTAGCAAGCTTCTTGGAGGTGCAGTACTCGTATTGTGCGAAGTTTCTAATTGCGAAGCTTTCGCTTTGCCTGGTGGCATGAAACTCTGGTGGTCGAATCCAACATCCAAGGTTTTTTCCTTGTTTCTCGGATTGTATTTCCTCCAAGCTCTTCGCCAAGAAGCGCAGTGTTTTGAGGTCCAATGGCTTGAAGGCCGGCCAGCGATATATTTATTTGGCGCCGTGGCAGGCAGTCTTGTATGATGAGCGGGGGACAAGGTATCGTGGAGCAGAAGTCTGGGCTGCTACTTGATGGTCTTGCGTTGAAGATCGTGTACAGAAATTATTGTCGTAGTACTTTAGGTCCGACACGTGCTTAGCTCTGAAATAGTTCGAGGAAGTGACATTTTTTACCATGAAAGAGGTGGAGGGGTTGTCTAGCTACGAGCGGAGACAGGGAGAGACCGTTTTGAATACATGGGTTCAATAGTCTCACTACTGCTATCATCGGTGATTGTTTCGATGCAAAAGGGTGTTTGTGACGTTTTCATATTTTCAAGGGTCAATCGTATAGTGGCGGCTACTGGTTGGTGTAGAATTTTCCACGGTGCCATTCGAAAGAATTGCTCGATGATCTAGATTATTCAGTGATGAGGGCTCTCCCGTACTGATACCGTAGGTCCGACGCGTGCTTATCCCAGAAATAGTTTGAGGAAGTATCGTATTTTACCAAAAAGGAGGTGGATGGAATGTATTGCTACGAGGATACGGGAGGGACCGTTTAGAATAGGTTCAGTAGTCTCACTACTGCCAACACGGGTGATTGTTGATGCAGGGTGTTTGTTATGTTTTCATATCTTTTCAAGGGTCAATCATATAGTGGTGGCTACCTGTGTAGAATTTTCTATGGTGCCAATCGATAGAATTGCATCGATGATCTACATTACTCAGTGACGAAGGCTCTCCCGTACCGATATTTTAGTGATGATGTAGGTCCGATGCGTGCTTATCCCAGAAATAGGTTGAGGAAGTCGTATCAAATTTTTCCAAAAAGGAATATCATATTCTACCAAAAAGCAGGTGAACGGCATGTATTGCTACGAGGATACAGGAGGGACCGTTTAGAAGAGGTTCAGTGGCTCACCACTGCCATCATGAGTGACCGTTTGGATGCAGGGTGTTTGTGATGTTTTCAGGTTTTTAAGGTTCAATCATGTCACGGTGGTCTACTGGTGTAGTCTACGGCGCCCTTCGAACGACGTGCACAGATGCTCTGGATTATTCGAAAAGGACAGGTCCTACACGTGCTTAGCTCGAAAATAGTTTGAGGAAGAAACAACATTTAACATAAAGGAGATGGGTGGTATGCATGAGGATAGGGAGAGAATGTTTAGAAGAGACTCAGTAGTTTCACTACTACTGCCATCATGAATGATCATCGTTTCGATGCAAGGTGTTCGCGATATTTTCAAATTTTCAAGCATCGTACTTTTGGTGCGCCGTGGTAGTCTACGGTGCCATTCGCCAAGAAGTGTGATGGGGGCTCTCCCGTAGTGATGTTTTCAGTGATGGTGTCGGTCCGACACGTGCTTAGCTCATAAACAGTTTGAGGAAGCAACATATTTTTACCATGAAGGGGGTGGATGGAATGTATAGCTATGAGGTTAGACCGTTCGGAAGAGATGCAGTAGTCTCACTACTGCCGTTCATGAGTGATATTTTCGATGCAGCGTGTTTTGGGATATTCTGGTATTTTCGAGGGTCAATCATGTTTTGGTGGTACCATAGTCTTTCCAAGGAGATTCACCGATACTTTGAGACGAAGAAGGCGCCCCCGAACTGATAAATTTGTTTCACAATGAACGAATTTGTACAGTAGCTCCCTGTTTGGCGCCGGCATGTGCCCAGAAATTCACCGGCAATGTACCGGACCGACAATATTCAAAGTACTGAGAATGAGTTGGAAGTTCAGCGTGTGCCCACTGAAACCACTGGCACTACTGTACCGGGCACCGGCACTATTCAACCGGCACTAAAGGGGGCTGTCTGTGTGTATGGTATATATGCTGAAGGTGCCACGGATTCCATCTCTTTGGACCCCGGGACTTCTCGAGAAGCAATCACACACAGATGATGCGCAGTGTAGCGGTGTGGTTCGGCTTCTCTTCTCGGCGACTTGAAGGTACCGAAGATTGCGTCATGTGCTTCGCGTTACTACCAGATACTCGATGCAGCCTGCAGTGTTCTACAACACGGTATCATTAGTCGAGCCTGTACCGCGGTATGTATGTACCTTCAAAGAGGGCAACACAGCTTTACATGTATCACTCGCGAAAGAATGCTGACTACTTGTTTGGCCACCCCAAACTGCAGGTGTGCATGTGCATACGCATAGTGTACATGTACGTAGCCTAGGCTCGACCCACAAAGGTTCCTCATTGTATACATGTGTTGCACAGCAGTCTGGGCAAAACGGCATTTGCCGTACGCGACGTAAGATACCACACCCCCTACGTGGACCGATTTTCAAAGCTCGACTTGTACTCCACAGCAGCGGAGTCTCGGTGGTGCCGAATACTGTATGGTGGCGATTGAACCACCTCATCGAGAACCTTACGAAAACGCGTGTAATGTACACTACATCCTCTTCGTGGAGCATCGAGCTTTGAAATTCGGTCCACGGGGCGTGATATCTTACGTCACCTCTGTACAATGATCGGTGTTGCGCAGGAGGAAAACACTTAGACGTGGAGATGGGAAAAACTGCAGAACACGCGAGGACGTCGTATTACAGAGCAAGGCAATTTAATTCCAGAGATGAGAAAGAGATGTTTGCAACAGCCGGTAGGAGATGATGTGGTATTCAGAACAGATGCATATGTTTTATCCGACTGTCCCTGTTGTCCTGCAGCCGAAATGTTGCGCTTTTCCATCTCGATTACAGCGGCTGAGCGCGGTAGAGTAAGATCTCGCTACATGTGGTAGATCACACGCTAAAGTACATCAACAACCTCTCACTTTATATGTGTGGCAAAGCATCACACAAGCAGCATGATACGGGTGAGCGTACAGCGGAGCAGTGCGGTGTGTGCGCATGTTCTTGGATGTGCGAACGAAAGGGGGGTCCCCACATGTCGACACTGGCGCGAATCGTGCAATCTACGGAGCCCCTCCGCTTCCGCCGTAAGCTGCTGCTGGTTCATCCTGTCTCTGTGTTTCCCCCAATCTCCCACCTCTCCCCCTCCTAAAACCTTTACTCTCCACAGCCATGAAGACTGTCGCTTTCGCGTGCGCTGTGGCGGCCTGTGCTGGTGGAGCGGATGCGTTCGTAGGTAAGGCTTGGAGAGAACGCACGTCGTCGCTCCTACAAGAGGGGTGATTTCGGGTATTACGTACTTGGCAGTCGGAGCGCCGAGGCTCGGGTGATCTCACAAATGCTCCCAAAATGATCTCTCGTCCATGAACGAGGGGTGTGTGAGGTGCATGTTAGAATGGTTCTGTGAATGGTATTTCCTCAGACCTTGGTAAACCCCTTGGTACGTGGTCGTTCATGCTGCTGCTGATAATGGTAGCTGGCAACATGAATCCTCATGTAATCGGAGGTGTTGACATGCGTCGCATCCTTGCCTCGTGTGGAGGAATAGGGGTGTGACGCTATTGCTGGTCCATGACCCCACAACTACCACCGTTCGACGACACCCAAGAATGGCGAGCTGCTGCTGAAACACGATACTGGTTCGGTGGCAGGGTGGTTCGATGGCAGATGCGTGGAACTCGTGTCTCTGCTGTGTGTGAGATTTTCGCGAAAAGTTCGGGTCTTTTTTTTTTTTTGCAAGTCGCTGTCGAATCCTTACGTGTACCATAGAAGGAATGTTTGCGTCAGCGTGTCCTCCCCCTCTCCCTGTGTATCTTCTGGCATGCCCATGGTGATTTTGGTCGCTACGCCATTTCGATGTGTTCCGACTACCATGTTGTGCCGGCACGAGTGAGCTCTGGACGTGTTTTTCCTCTTCCATTGGCCAAGTACTGAAAGTTGGCAGATAACCCACAGTTTATGTACTGAATTGGCAGGTGACGTGTATTACCACCCCCCCCTCGAACTCAACCGAACAAGGTGGCTTTACGGCAGTGTCATTAACAGCAACTGTGTTTTGCGTGTTGAATGGCGGTGGAGTATGAAGTGAACACCGCCGGCGTGCTCCCCGTGTAGTGCCCAAGGCCTTTTGCCGGAAGAAATCCAATTGGGGGTGGGGCTTCCGTGGTAGTATGGTATATCGCCACTCCTGTTGGAACCGCGTGCTCCTGAAGAAAGAGGAGGATACAAAAGGGTTAAGGCACAAAGAAAATAGTAAGTCGAGCCGCGTGTGGAAAGCAGACAGTGGCTCAAACATCTCGAATCGCAAGAGACGTGGAGCAAAGGAGGGCACTACCCGAAAAAGACGTCGAGCCCACCGCTCACACTGCTGTACCTTGGAAGTATTCGTATTTGTATGTCCAAGGGTTATACATTCAACCTCAATCACCAGTGGAAAACTGATCCTCGCAGCCCTTCATGACCGAGGAATACTCCGTAGTTGCCATGGGTTTGATGTCGCTGACATTTCTGTCCAGTCCATCTGCCATGGACCCCTACCTTTTTTTTTTTCTGCCGTATCTGAGTTTGACT